GCAATCTGTAAATACTTCTCCGATGAGGACACCTTCCATTTTCTAAATAAGGGAAAGAGGTGGAATAGATATTACAGAGGATTCTACCCAGCCCTTTGAGGTTTCACTTAAACAGCAGAATTTGAGTATTTCATTCTTTTATGTCAGCATCTATGAACCTAGTAATTCATGTCGTGTAAATGATGGCTTTGCAAAACATCGTCAGTGTCACTGTTGTGGAGAAAAACCAGTTGATTACTAAGTCTTACCAGTTTTCAAAGCATGACTTAATTGTTGACAAAATACACTCTGCTTTCTGATGTCCATGTTCGGAAATATTAATAAGAAAATTATTCCTTATTTTATGCCCCTATATAACTCTTTCTCACTTTTCCTTTAAAATTCCTTAAATTGAACAGATTTTGTTCTGTCTAGGAGTATTAATATCAAGTTTGGACAACTCATGAGCTGATCGTTCAGACTGAGTCAACCATCATTTTAGTACCTATTTTGTGCACAGAATGCAGGGATCCAAGAAATGAATTATCTTTTCTCTTCTAACTTCTACAGTCTTTTTAGAAAAACAAGATACACTCCCTACCCATCTACTGCACAGCACCCCACATGCAAAGAAATTATCCCTACAGACCTAACTCATAATGCCAGAACTGTCTGCCGCAAGGCTTGGTGGAGCAGGTGCTGAGTGCCGAGGAGAGGGCGGCACTTCCTGAGGGGCTAAGCTTCCAGGCATAGCTTGTCTGGTGCCTTGGAGGCTCCTTGAAGTAAGGTCACATGGCTCAAGTCAGATTAACACTTGCGGTGGTCTTGACTCCTTTTCCCCCCTTGAAATGGGGAATTGATGCACCTTAAGATTCGGCTCCCCTGCCCTTCTCTTCACATGCCTCTCGGTGTGCATCCTTGGATTCACCTCCGGCTGAGTGCATTCCCATCTTTACTGCTCCTCCCAGCCTCCTGCCTGGACTCCATTGGGACCCCCCCCCCACCAGTTTCAGTATATTCTCACCCAAACTGTCCCTTTTTCTCAGCTTCTCAGCAGCATCACTGAGACTCAGAGCAGTTCTCCTTTTTGGCTCCTTTCTCTTCTTTGTGTCTCTTACATCACTCTCCATGAGTATTTCTTCTCTTCCCTTCCCTTTTCTTCCTTCTTTTCTTTTCTTTTTTCTTCCTTTCTTCCTTTTTTCTTCCTTTTTCTTCCTTTCTTCCTTTCTTCCTTTCCCTTTCTTTCCTTTTTTCTTCCTTTCTTCCTTTCTTCCTTTCTTCCTTTCTTTCTTTCTTTCTCTTTCTTTCTTTCTTTCTTTCTTTCTTTCTTTCTTTCTTTCTTTCTTTCTTTCTTTCTTTCTTTCTTTCTTTCTTTCTTTCTTTCTTTCTTTCTTTCTTTCTTCATGCAATCAGTTTATTTTACTTTTAATATATTCTCAGATGTTCATGGCTAATAATCCTTCTGAAATTGAGCCCCTCAGAAAACCACAAATGGTCACTAATCACATGGCAAGCTTGCCCTTGTATTTACTCTCCAGAGATGAAAATGTAGGGCTTTTTTTTTCTTTCTTTTTCTTTCTTTCAAAGCTTCTCTCATACCTATTTCTGTTTCTGCGTTCCTCCTATCACCTGTGCTGTGTGGGTCCCACTTACTCTGTTTCTAGATTATTACAGTGGTGACCATTTTCCGTCCTGAAACCATTGCTTGCATGACATATTCCTCCCTTCAGAGTTGGTCAGTGATGCCTACATTTCTTATCGCAGTAAGTCTGGTCTCCTCTTGTTGGTCTTCTAACCATCCCCAGGCCTCTTGTTTCCTGTGTAGTCTCTCCTTAAGTGGTGAGGCTCAGCTATCTGGCTCATGCCTCCTTCAGTCAGTCATTCCCTCCCCTTCAGCTGATTCAGACTCCATTCTAAGGCCCAGCTCAACCCTCTTGATCTTTTCTCCTCCAAACTCAATGCTAATTATTTCCTATATAATGTACAAACAGGCTTCCTTTATTAATCCTGGTCTAAATTTGACAATCTAGGGAAGCCATTTTTGCCCACAGCACACAGCATTACGCTTAACATAATGTGTGTCACGAGTGAAAATTTGGGATTTTATCCTTTGACTACATACCCATCAATCTGGGGCTTAAATTTCTATATACTTACCAAATGTAAAATTATCTTGAAACAAGCATTATAATTTATTAACACTTCTCAATAAATTTAAAACTTTATATTACATAATATTGACAGTTACTGGAATAATCACATTCTTATATGGAAATGGGGTATTCACCCCCCCTTACTCTTAGTGGTGTCCGTGTGGACCAGAGGCAGACGTCAGCTACTATTGTGCATGTGTTTTCCCTGTTAATCAAAGCAGTCATCCCTGGGAATAGTTAGCTTTAACGTCACAGGGCCAACTCCCAATGGATGTGTGTGGCGCCGTTTGACAATACAAGCCCCAGGAGATACTGCTGTATCTTCCTCGCCCCTGTTGGCAGCACCTGCCACACCAGGTGCCCTGCACCCTCAGATTCAGAGGTGTGCCATACCTGCTCTCTGGTGTCCAGACTTTCTGCTTTTTGGACTTCATTCAGAAGATGCAGGTTAAGTCCAGACTCAGCCACATATTCCCTGTTGTTCCCAAGGATGCCCTCACCCCAGCATCCTGACCTGCCTGCTCCGTAGGGAGTCACAAGGTCTGGCAGAGAGGAAGGTGTGAGCCCAGTGTGGGCATCCTGCAGCACTGCGCCACGTTGTGCCCATCCTACAGAATGTGCACTCGGCTGACTGCCTTCTAGGCTGTTTCAGGTCAGAGGTCAGCAGTCTTGGTGGCAGAGGTGCTTACAGCTGATCCCACCCCATGGTGCATGGAGCCGCAAACAAACAGACACATCAACTAAACTTCCTTGCTCGGGCATACCCAGAGGTTGACTGTGTCCAGGCAGCTGGAATCTGCGTACCTGAGAAGCATTCCTTCAGGCCAGGGCTCTCTAGCCAAGTACTCTGGGAGTTTAGGAAGAGGATTAGGACCAGAGACTTTGGCTGAATATTCTTTGTGATTCTTAAAAGTTGCTGTGTGATAGATGTAGTCCCTTGTCTATTGGTTTTAAGAAATAAGGGAGGTGGGGTAGACGTGCAGGAGTAGGGGCATCTAATCCTTTCTGATGGTAGCAAAGCTGCTTTTCTGAATGGAGTGTGTGTATTTCCTCTTCAGGACACTTCCACCCCAGGGCACCATGAAATCCTAATGAGCCAGGCCTGAAAACCACTAATGTGTTCCAAGCACATTGCTTTATAATTAAATCAAGTGATCCCAGAAAAGTAGAATGATTGCATGATTAATCATTGGAGACCAAGATGGGCACCCGAAGTGTCCTGATTCCCCGTGTAATTATTTCCTTATGATTGTAGACTCTCCGTGTCTTTCACCACATCGTATCTTTAGTGCTTTTTGAAACATTTTTATCTACAATAAGCCAAATCTCATATGTGCAAAGATGACACACCGTTAATATTTTCAGACAGTGGCTAGGCCAGGATTTCCTTAGTATACATATGAGTCAGTAATCACAGCGTATTTCTGAGCCAAACAGAATGCCTGTTTGTTTTAAACATTTCATATCATGAAGAAGGTTTGCTGTAAGGACATTTATCGCTTTTTAAAAAAGGAATTAAAACTTCTATCCAGAGCATGGTGAAATTTCAAAGCTAAACAAGTTCAGTGCTAGACATAGTTTATATTTTAAATTATAAAATCAATAGAAGTAAAAGTGTCTTTTCATCCTCAGAACAAAGCTTCCATCAGTCATTCTGATTTTCAGCCTCTGTTGAGATTCTGGCAGGGCCTCCCTGAGTGCGTAGGAGGGTCTCAGTGTGTGTCTGGGGCTGGTGTATTCCATGTCTTCTTGCTACTCATACTGTTTGCACACTCTTGAGAAACAGGATCTGGGAAGTACCCCAGGGTCCCAGCAGAGGGGCCTTAGGACCCCAGCGTGCTTCATTGTATCAATACCCTGTTCTCCTGCCTTCATCACACTTCGCCTGTTGATTTGACTATTTTGATCTCCTGCTTATTGCCCCCACCATGCTATGCATTCCCAGAGAGCAGAGACTTCATTTGATCTGTTCATCCCTGGGTCTCTCTAGAACAGCATCTGGAACACGTATGAATAAAGTAAGAATGAGAAATGAATGCAAGAGGGTTTCAGTATTTATCCATGTTGTGCCAGGATGCTAACTTTGTTGACTTGCCTTATTCAGTCGGAGTCCCCTCTGACACTAATTTTGTTTACTGCTTAGGTGCCCTTAAACCATTTATGTCAATGAGTTTATATTCACATAGAATAACTGCATAAGTGTTCTTGTTAAATGAATGAATAACCATATTTTCTTGTTTTTATCTGTCTCTTTCATCCAACGTGGCCAATTTAAATTAGTAATGCCCTACATTCCTAAACTGGTTATAAATCTCAACTTTTTGTTCTATAAGATTTTATTTCAGATCTTAGCTACCTGACTTAAGTCTTTGACCCTTGATTCTAACAGTCTTTATCATATTATTATTCATTTTGTAATCTCAAAAGCCTAGATATTGAGAAAGGGGGCTTAGAAATAACATTAGCTCAAACGGGATAAACCAAACTTCCGTGTTTAAAGTTGCCCAGGAAATAATCAACTTTGGTTGAATATGCTGATTCGTGTCAATTTTGTATGAAAGTTTGGTAATAATAAGTATACTCACCATGCACACCACACTTCCCAGATGCTTTGCATTCTTCTCTGCTTCTCAAGACAGCCCTATAAAGTGTGGCTGGAAGGTTCTGAGGTTGGCGAGAGAACTATTAAAAGATTAAATAACTGAAGTTTGAAAAACTAGTGTAACCTGCTTAAGGAGGCCAGGACTAGAACTTACGTTCCCAGTCTGGTGTATTTTCAAGATACAAAACTGAGAGTAACAAGAAAAGTCAACATAGTTTCCATATGTATCTTTTACAAATTATTTTAGAAATAAAGATAAAAGATCATTACTTAATGAAAATTTTAATATATATGGTTTTGGTAGGGTCTAGTACATAGTGATTAGCTTTCTGTTGAATTGAGTAAAAGGATACATTTGAGCAAATTAGGGCAAAGAAAACAGGTGCTAACAATGACTGGGGGAGCAAACATTTTCAAAAATGTATGCATTAGGTTTACATTTACAAGGTTTAGTCCAAGATAATTAACTTTACACTTTACGCAAACTCTACTGCTTTCCATAAAATCTTTTGATCTTCAGCAAAGAATAATGAGGGTGATCTTAAAATACCGTTAAACTTTTTAGACTTACACAGACTTTAGACTTACAGAAAAATTACAAGATCATATAGAATTCACATATACCCTTCTCCCAGCTTCCCCTAATCATAATAACTACACACTTAACCACAGTACAGTTCTCAAAACCAGGAAGTTAACTTTATAGTGGTGTTTTTAATTCCACACATGTAATTAATGGAAGGAACTAAAGCTAAGCCAATAATTATGTTTATTTATACCACTAATTGTATCATAGTGTCTTACAGAAAATCGATAAATTATTGTTTTAACAGTAGAATAATAAACAGAGCACTAATTCATAAATTCCACCAATTTTTTTTGTTCCTGTCATTCGCTTCTTTGTCTTGAACCATAACATAGTTTTCAAAAGGACTTAGGGAGTTCTTAACTAATAACAATACTCAGATCTGTTGTAAAGGATGTGCTTATTTTGTTCTAAATTCTTCTAGTCTAGCTCAGCAGTGCACAACATCCTATTCTCATGAGAAAACTTTGTAATGACATGACTTCTGTCTAGAATGTGGAACTGAACCTTCACTGAAACTGCTATATGACTAAACCTTATAGATATGTTTTTGGTTGTTCTGTGGGTTAGCAAATCAGGTTGACTAACGTGATGAGTATAACATGACATTATGTCTCTCTTATTGATGAGAAATGGCTACTGAAACAGATACATGAGTATAATTTATAAATGACAAAGAAAAATTTGGAATTACTTGATATTTTGTGGTTTAAGGACAATACTTGAATATGATCTTATGCATGAAAATGCATAGGATGATATTTCTCTTGTTTTAATATAGTTGTTTTCAAGATGAAGATGTTCCAGGGTTGACTCATCGTCTTCAGCATTGCAGATTTGTTCTGGAAGAATATTCCTAAGGGAAAATAGACACATACAAGTCACAAGTGATCCAAGTAATACTCTACCTTCATAACTGAGGAGTTAAGTTTTACATTTGTTTAAAATACTTTTGTTTTTAAAATAAATTTGGATCCTTTCCTTAGTCACCAGAAAAAAAATTTCAAAAACATCAAAGATCTGCATGTGAAAAAATGAAGAAGAAATAGCAGAATAAAGCATGGTCATACCCTGAGAGTGGGGGAAAATCTTACTATTTATGCCTCAAAAACCAAAAGCACTAGAAGAAAAGATTAATAAATTGACTACAGTTTTTTTTTTAATGCAGTTAGGAGACAAATTGCAAGCTAAAAGAGTGTTTGCAACATATATCACGGATAAAGGGCTACTATACAAAGACCTAAAAACCTAGAAGGAGAGGGAAATGAGAAAAAAGAGATACCTGGGTACCAGCTTAGAGAAGAGAAAATGAAATGACATGTAAACATAAAAAGATGCTTAATTTCTTCATAATAAGGAAAATATAAACTGAAATGATACTGGTACCACTCTCATCAGATTTGCACCCCCCTCCAAAAAAAACCCATAAGTTCATTAACATGTTCTGACGATGAGGCTGTGTAGGATCAAACATCACTGAAGAGAATTAAAAACAGTGCAGCCCCCTGGATGGGAATTTGGCAGTATCTAGCAAAATTATGTATGCATTTTATACTTTTCACCCAGCACTTCTAGGGATTTATCCCAAAGTTAGAGTGGAAAAAATACAAAATGTCATTCGAACACAGTTATGCGTTGTGGCATTATTTATAATATAAAAGAATAGAAACAGTCAAATGTCAGTCAGTAGGGAACAGGTTGAATAAAATGTCTCCATAGTGGAATACTATTCACTTGTAGAAAGGAATGAGGAAATTCTGTATGTTACTGATACAGAGTGATATCCAGGATATACTGATAATTTTAAAAAGTAACAAATAGAAAAAATATACACGAGAGAGGAAGAGAAAAATCCTTCTGTGTAATAATTTGTATAATAATTGTGAGGGGGTGGAGAATCTGAATGTGTGTATGTATGTATGCTTATATTAAAAAAAACATTGGTAGGATAAATGGAAAATTAATTTAAAAATTTAACCTATAGGGAAGGATGGAATATGGTATAAGGGACAGGCATAGCAAAGTAATATTAATGAAATAGTAAACAGCAATTCCTAAAAACTAAAACAAATTAAAGACTTCTCTGAATATTAAGTTGTTGACATATTGTTACAGAGAAAATCGCTATATTTAAGTCATGCATCCTTCATGGAACATATTCTAAAGACAAATAGAGCTACCAAAAACATAATAGACTAAATTAAACACTTTTGTTGTTGGCTGTAATAATGATACTATCATTTTGAAAGTATTATTTATATACTATAAGATAATAAACATAAGTTATTGTTGGGAGTCTAGATTTTCAGAGTAAGAAAAACAAGTTTAAAACAAAAGGACTTCTCTATAATGTTAAAATTGAATTAGGAACATTGGTATGAACTCTTCCTTTACGAAATACATGTTTTCTGGCAGTCCACTAAAAACCCTTGAAACAGTACATATTTGAAAGGAATATGGCTGGTGCCCAGACTGGGGCCTCTGAATACTGCTCCCCAGTGAGACGAGCTAGGACTCTTTGGAAGAAGGCTGGCTTAGGTCTGTAGTGGGGAATATAAAAGTGAGCCATCCAGGAGGCCTCTCCGAGGACATAGGAGCCAGTTCAAAGGGCTGCCATTGGCCAAAGATGGGACAGTTTAAGAAAGATAATTGGCAATTGATTGAAACATTCTTAATATATAAAGTCATAAATTCATATTGGTTCTCCAGAGAAAAAGTCAAAAACAAAATAATAAAGCAAAAATATTTAGGCACCAACTTTTTTTCTTTTCCTGAGACAACTACTATGAAAATTTTAATTTATTTTAGTTTTTTTCATTCATGTTTAATGCATATATTTTTTTCCAGTTTTATAAAGATAAAATTGATGTAACATTGTATTAGTTTAAAGTGTGTACAACAGAATGATTCAATATATGTGTATATTGTTGAAATGAAGGCCACCATAAGTTTACTTAACATACATCACCTCACATAGTTACAAATTTGTAACCAACTTCTTACTCTGATGGCCAATTTAAAGGAAAAGAACTGAGCATTTATCCTACCTTTCAGAATAACAAAGTTGCCCTATTTGATAAGAAAAAATTCTTTCCAGAGGACTTCCAGCTAACAAATGTGGAAAGAATGATGCAAATAGAAGGTCACCATTTGTTAACAGCTTCAGGCAACATCATCCGTGAGTGAAGAAATCATTGGTGCAATGGAGGAGAAAGGTTGTAATGGAGGTTATCAGGCCATGACCTCCTTAATCCTACCAGAAGTGGAACAAACATTGTATGCCTGTCAATGCAGTGAAATAGGAAGTGTATATAGCATGGCCTATGAAGTATTTTAGCCAAATAAGTTTGACTCTGAATCTTACAAAGCCTTCCCTACCCCCACCTCTTCCCCTCAAAACTCTTGACTCTGTCTGTGTTTTGGTTTTTAGGAGTTTATGTTTGGAATTTTAGAGATAAGTAGAAGAGGAAAGGGGGTGTAATCCTCAAGGGCAGGGCCACAGAGTTCAGGGATCTGCCTCCCTCTTTGGCTGCACAAACAAAGCGTTCCAGATTAATTCTTGAGATATTCATACTTTCTAGGCAGAGGTGATGACTCAGTCGGCAGATGGAACACACACAGAAAAGTGTCCCCAGAAGTGAGGCTAGCTGAGTCTCAATAAATTTATTCAGAATTTTGTCTTCAGAATATCTAGGTAGAAGCCATTTAAGTTTTAGCATATACTTAGCTTTTTTGCTCTAGTGATTAGATTGTTTGAAATTATATATGGAGTTAGGAACAGCACCTGCCCTGAAGCCTCCCTTGGACAAGTCTTTTAAGGTTTTAGATATTATGTAATCATACTCTGCTTTTTCAGTTTTTGACTATGGAAGTTTGCAAACATACACAAAAGTAGAAAAAAATACAATGAATCCTTATGTACCTATGATCACCCAGCTTCAACAATCATCATCATTCACCAATCTCGTTTAATGCAACCTCTTGTCACTTTTTTTCCCCTTAAATTCCAGACATCATGTCATGGTTGTTCAGTCATCTGTTTTGTCACACACAATAGTTTAAATGGATACTTGAAAAAGCCCGATTTTACCGTATCTTGTTGTTGTTCAATCTCAGAAAATGTAGTGCTTTCATTTCTTGTACCCCAGGTGGTATAGATTTTAATTCATTATGATCGAGAAACAGCTCTCGCAGAGAATGGTAAGCCCCGTAGAAGGAGACTTGGTCTATGCCGTCATCCATAAGTTTGTTGAATGACAAGTACAGGTATTCCAGGCCTGGCTCCATGTGGCCAAACACGTAGCCAGGGATACGCTCGATCTGGTTGCCGATGAGCACAAGGTGCAGCAGGGACTTGGGCAGATAGGAGGGGACATGGTAGAGCTTGTTGTAGGAGAGGTCAATCGACTCTAGATTTCTGCAGCAAAGAAAAGAGTAAACGTGGTGGGAACATCAGGGCAGTGACTCTTGGCTCCAGGTTTTGACAGGCCAGTCAGGATGCTCGCCCATTCTCCCGCCAGCCCTCAGTGTGCAGTAATGACTCCCAGTGCGGGTGTGACTCTGTGTGGTCTGGCTGCGTGGCTGGTCACTCTTACCTGGGTACCACACAGCTGATCGAGTTCCATTAGAGAGGAGCACCAGAGCTCAGAGAGAAACACTCATATCCCGGGGGTAATGGTGAGGCCCAAAGAGGTCCCCCAGATATCTCTAAGGTCAGACTTGAATCAGAAGTCAAGTCCACAAAAATTTTTTTAATTAAAAATATTTTAAAAAGAAAAACAGAAATGAAGTCCACAGTCCTAGCTGACATCAAACTGCCTATCTCTAAAACCATCTCTGGTTCCAGCAAGGAAGTAGCCGTGTTGAGGATTTTTGCATTCTTGTACCACATTTGATCTGATGACTTGGGACCTGGGAGTCAGGATGAGAATGAGGGATCGAGAAAAGGTTATTAATTGGCCAGAAGATCTGGGAAATGTGGTGAGCTGCCTGGCTTTTCTCAGAAGCCTCACCTGTGGCTTCTGCCCTCCCCATGAAGACTTTTCACCTGATGAAGACTCAGTTGCCTTGCCACTGCCACATTCTGCTGAACCTAATGGGCCCTTAAGGCCCCTTTTCATCTCTCTCTGTCCTGCTTCTGAAAGATGCTCGTCCCCACTGTGCCACTCAGATCCCTCATTCCCTCCCCATACGACTCCGGATCTGCTCTGGTGCACCTTCTGCCCAGGCTTGACCCGCTTCCCTCTCCGTCCTGATGAGAAAGGCCCCCCACACTTTCCCTTCACTGAGGCTACAGCCCGGGGCCATTGATTCCTCTCCAGAAAGGTGGGCTCCGCTTTCTGCCTCTGCTATCAGGTCACACACTCTCTGGTCTACTTAGTAAGACTTGAGATAGAGAAATAGTTTGCAGGAATGAAGACGGTGTGGTGTGGGACAGTGAAGCATAGTGCTTCGACCTAATGGTGAGGGAGGAGAAGGAAGAAGAGGGCAGCTCCCTTCCTTACTGTGGGTAGGGGATTGCCTTGGTTAAACTTCATGACTGCCTGGGGAGTCAGCAGAGTGTGAGCAGCACAGTGAGCAGACGGCAGGCCACGCTGCTTGCTCAGCACGTGGACGTGGTAGGATGTGTACAGCAGCGGTGGCCATGGCCATGGTAATATCAGTCATACCCTGAATGGTTTGAACTCCATGCATGAAGCCAAGTTGTACGTAGGTTCCCTAAGAAAGGATGCTGTCACCTCCTTCACTTGGCCATGTTCATACCCTGTTGAGTAATGGCAAAAGGAAGAAATCATCTAACAAAGTCAGATTGTACCATATACTTACTCTTGATTTATCCAGGCTAAAGGAGCAATTCTGTTTTCTTCAATTTTATTATAACGTAGTACAATGACATTGATTTTTCTGGTATGATTAAAACAAATTTCAGTTATTTCTTCAATTTGGTTATTTTCTAGGTATAGTTCCTATAATTAAGAGAGGAGACCATTATTTTTCTTCATACTAATTGATAAATATATTTAATTTCACGGAGATTAAAATCATAGCCCATTCTCACTAGTGTTATCTAGAGTCTGGCTATTCTTCCCAAGTGAGTTCAATCTTTTGTTGTCAGATTTTCTAACTAATTGGTAAAATAAAATGTACTGTCATGGAAGTAAGTGGATTTTATTTAATTATTTTTCACTTTAAAATGATGCAAGACATAGGATGCCATAATAATTATATAAAGCTTTCTAATTTACAAAACTTACTCGCCTAAGTTATTTCATTTGGGCTTCAAAACCCTCAAAAATGAGTAGAAATTAATCCCCCTTTAGCATTGGAGAAACTCAGGCCTGGAGAGATGGCAAAGTGTTTCCATGGCTACCCAGCTAACACATGAGTGAATCTCCTGCTGGCTGGGCCCAGCTCTAGTTCAGCCTGCTTCCTACCAGGTCACGCTGTCTGTAATTTTTTGTGGCTCGCATTTTTTAGACTTGCTATTTTATGATTACTTTAATTAAAAGCTCATTAACAGCCTTTATTTAACATCTGGGTGAAGTTTGCTAGAAATACTAGTAAGTTTTCAACAGCTTGCTATCTTCAAGTTACATTCATTTGGCATTACAAGGGATTGCTCACTCAGGGATCTTGCTGGAGTTCAGAAGTAGCATCGGTATCTATATTCACAGCAACTTCCTATTCCTATTGTACTGATTTCCCCCTCTTTGTCATGTAATTTTGGTATTTGTTGGAAATGGGTGCAGTGTTCCTTTAGCTTTTGATTTGTACCTTCATACGTGTTTAGGGGTGAAGTTTCTAAACTTGGTTGTATGTTAGAATCACTTGTGAGCTTTTTAAAGTATAAATTCCAACCTAAATGAACTGTTAGAGCACACTCGTCCATACACTGAAACTGTAGCTAGGAAGCCGTGCACCAGAAGGACTCAGAGCACATGAACCTGCATGGACGGCGCCCCCCGTGCTAGTGAGAGGGTCTTTGGAAAGAGAAACCGGGGATGGAAGGGTTAGACATGGAATATAGACACATTGTCCTTTTGTATTATTCAAGTGTTGTGTGTGTGTGTGTGTGTGTGTGTGTGTGTGTGTGTGTTTTACTGTGTGCATACCTTATCTATTTAAAAATTTAATTAAAAGAAATCATAACTTGTTGATTCCAAACAATCTGATTTAGCATGTCTGGGATAGGTCCAGGAATTTTTATTTCTTTAGAATTCCAATGATTCTGACATAAAGCTAGGTTATGGATCTTTACAATTTTGTTAAATTCTAAAGGTCAATATTAATCTGCAAATAGAAGGAAGAAGTAGCATGGTGGCTGTGGTGGCAGCCGTATCAGATTGAGATTGATGGCCCTCACTTGGGTCACTGGGTCCACCGCCTTGGGGAGCTTCGTCCTGCTGTTTGATTGTTTATGTGGCAGAAACAGAGCTCAGAGGAGGTGTCAGCTGGATCTGCCAGCATCCCTGTTGTTAATGCAGGAAGTCAGAGTGTACACTCAGCACTGAAGGCCCCACAGAGTGCTCCCTTCGTTAAGTGTGTTCCTTGTCACAGTAAGAGAGACCACACGCCTGGGCAGCAGGGACTGCCTCCAGAGGGGAGGGAGACAGGACAGCACTTGGGCCCTTGATGGGAGCTGGTCAAAACTAGTAAGCTGGTGCGGCGCCAGGGTAGGGTGGTGCCGGCGCAGTCAGCAGCCTTCTCTGCAGATCATGTCCATCCTTACAGGGTCACTGCTAGTCCCTGTGGGACTCTGGGTGGAGCAGACCGGGATCAACATCACAGTTCCAGCTTGGGACAGTTTAAACTACCTTGCAAATCGAGATGCTTTCTGCAGGTTGTAGTTCCTGTTTGAATTCTTAGTTAATCTTTCCTGTTCTCTCCGCAAGAGCTGTCAGCAGAACTAAGTTTCACTTTATCAAGATTCTCTACTAGTAGTTACAATTTTGATTCATAATCTTGTATGAAAACAGTGCTCAAATTATATAGTAAATTCTGTATATAACACCACAACTATTGAGTTTAATATACATCACAGTAATCTTTTAAAATACGTTGTTTGTTTTGTTGTCGTGTGCTGTATTTAAAGTGTAAAACATTATAAGGAAGATATTGGTACCTCAATAGAAGCAGGAAGACCCTGTGGTATAATTCTAAATTTATTTCTTCCCAGACGCAGGTAGGACAGGCTCTTCAAAGGTTTGAAAGCTAAAGAATTGACATTGGCTTCACTGAGATTGTTTCCTTCCATTTCTAAGGTGACCAATTGATTTAAGTCTATAAAAAATTAAATTATTGGGATATTAGGATAATTAAAAAGCATGTAATCTCCATAGCCTTTCAAAATGTCACATGAAACGTTCAGCTTATTCGAAGGGCTGACGCTGTAGCTGCTTTCTTCGTATCCCCCACAGAACCTTTTCCCCAAGACTTTGTACATCCCAGATGCTTGTTTCAGCCAGGACTCAATGCAGAATGCATGGTTCAGGAGGGGCAGGCATGTAGAGGGATCATTGTGCTGTATGGTGGAAGGTTGTAACCCCCATACAAAAACCAAAAATACCACACACAGAAGAAGAATTGTAGGTAAGTATCACTGATGAACATAGATGCAAAAAGCCTCAACAAAATATTAGCAAGCCAAATTCAACAACACATTAAAAGAGGTATCATTATCTCACACCAGTCAGAATGGCCATCATCAAAAAGTCTACAAATGGTAAACACTGGAGAAGGTGTGGAGAAAAGGGAACCCTCCTATACTGTTGCTGGGAGTGTAAATTGGTGCAGCCACTATGGAAAACTACATGGAGGTTCCCTAAAAAACTAAAAATAGAGTTACCATATGATCCAGCAATCCCACTCCTGGGCAGATATCCAGAGGAAACTAATCAAAAAGTTACATGCACCCCAGTGTTCATAGCAGCACTATTTACAATAGCCAAGACATGGAAGCAGCCGAAGTGTTCATCAACAGATGACTGGATAAAGAAGTTGTCATATATTTATACAATGAAATATTACTTGGCCATAAAAAGAATGAAATAATGCCATTTG